GACGTTTAGTGGAATCAGAGGAAAATTCGGATTAGTTTTAAATCGCGTGAGGTGGCGGTGGGACCCACCCCACTTAAGTGACTTAAGCCACATGTGCTTGGCACTATTCATGCATCACTTTCCTCCCTTCTTCTTCATGAAACCCGCAGCCCCCTCCCCCAAAAACCCCATTTGCATTCAAATTTTCTTTTCACCATAACTTGATCATTTTGTAACCAAATCAAGTGATTTTTGTGTTGACATTTGTTGGAAACAACCTTCTAAACACATTGGTACCACTCTTGAGCCTTGAAACCGTGTATTTGGGGAGATATTGGCCATTTACAGCCACGAAATTTTGGAGAAAAAATGGTTGTCCATGGAGCTTTTTGATCTTCCATTGCTTGGAGAAGTCTTGGGTTAGCTTCTAGCCTTTGTTGTGAGTATGTTTCCATCCCATTTACATGATTTAATTGTGATTGAATTTTTGGAAACCTAAAGCTTGATTTGATGATGTGTTGTGTTAGAGAGCTCAATTTGAAAATGTGTATTAGATGATAATGCCTTAAAATGATGTAGTAATGCTAGAAATGCAATGAAAATTTTAAGTGAAATGTGATAATTTTTAACTTAGAAAAATTGATGATCATGATTCTGGAATTTGTGAATTTTGGTGTTGAGACTTGTTTGATAATGGTGGCATGATGGTATGATGATATAATAGGTTGTGTGAAGGTTGGAATGATTAAAGTTGTATGGAAATTCCTTGGAATGCCATAGGGTAAAATTCGATTCTTTGAAGAAAGATTGAGGAATTGATGTTGAAAAATGATTTGGATGATGATTTGTGTAGTTATATGGTGCTTAGATGGGTTGTGTTATGCTTGGAGAGTGTTTGAATCAATGGAAAAGAATGAATTGTGTTAGAGACCTAAATGAGCCCAGAATGAAATATTTCGCAAAGCGATGCGTAAATGTCGAAAAACAGAAAAACGACGATTGAACTAGCCTCTAAACAACCTAAGGGAGTGTTATAAAATGAGAAAGAAAATTTAGGAAAATAAATCTCAAATTTACACCTACATGGCCGAACCTCCAAGGGGAAAAGGGGTGATTTGGCGATTTTCGCGTTTTGATGTAATTCGACGCGAAAATGACGAACCGGCACTTGAACTGGCCTATTGACAACCTAATGAGACGTAACAAAATGAGAAAGAAAATTTAGAAAATAAATCTCACATTTACACTACAATGGCCGAACCATCAAGGGAGGATGGAGAGGATTTTTGTGATTTTGCGTTTTGATACTATTTGACGAGTACTGATAGATGTACGTTATTGTATAGGTTGCCGTACGTCGACCTGAATCCCGAATCTTGAATCAGTGAGTTGCCCTTGGTCCGGGACTAAGTGGATTGAGGTAAGAAATTGGTTCATTGCATGTGTAATTATAAATTAACATGTATTGGTTGAACTGAGAGTGATTGGGAATGTCCTCTGTGTAGGCATTCCGCTGTGTACCGAGTTGAGGGATAAGCTGCTGCGGAGCTTGTGGAAACACGAATTAAGGTAACCTCTTGGTACTGGGGCTTGTTCCCCTTTTCTGTTCCACCTTGCCAGTTGATGGCAACGGTAGGAAGTGTGTATGAATAATATAGAACACATGAGCATGCATGCATTATTGCTATGGGTACTTATGTACCGAGTCTCTGGCCAGTAGACAGTTTTATTAGCCTTCGGGCATTTTCGGACTTCCGCTGGATAGGTCTCCAGGAGGGAGTTCCAGTTGACTGCGTGTCATGGTGTGTGATCCGGGTAGGAGCACACTAGGAATGTCTTTGGCGTTTTGGTTGGTTTGGGCATCATGGTTGTGGTTTCTGTGAACACACCTTGGATGATACCCATAGGCTTATATATGCCGAGGGCGTACGTGGAATTGGGGTTACCATCCCGTATCGTCGTATTTTGTTTTCTTTATATTCCCCATTCTCTAAATCCCTTGCTATATCCCGTTTTCAAAGTGGTTGTTGTATTCTATTGATATGCATCGAAGTGAACCATTGGGTGGAGTTTTCTCCAGAACCTCTTGGTTACTGAGATATATTCGTATATCTCACCCCGTCTCGGGGCATTTATTTCAGGAGGTAGCAGTGGAGCAGGAGCCTCGGGCAAGAGGCCCGCAGAGTGAGCGGTGGAGCGCTTCTTATTTTGCATTTTGTTGGCCGTGTGGCCTAGGCTAGACTTAGGGCATGAACATGTCATTTGTATTTATTAGTAGCTTCATTAGCATCTTGTTCATGCCATTTTGCCTAAGTCTAGTAGTGATGTATTTGGTTATGTTGTCTTTTAATTAAGTTGAAATTTTAGAAGAATGTAATTTGAAGTTGTAGTTTCAAGTTGTAATTTGTAAAGCCATATTGTAATAGTATTGATGCATGTCTAATTATGATGGAAGGGCCTTAGACCTATTTTAGGTTATGATAATATGTATGATGGAAATATGCATGAAAAAGTGTTAGTGATTGCAACTACTTAAGAATGATTAGTATGTGTTTAATAACTATAAACTGGATTGGGTTGTAAGTGCCCCAAGGCGTTGTTGGTCCTTGTGTGTGCCACCCATTGGATTATTATTGTATTATCATGTGTTTATTAGGTACATTTGAGGTTTAAATGATCTTTTACAAATTTGGGATTATTGGAAAAACAAAGGAAACTCTGGCGAATTTTCTGTAGAATTGGCAGATTTTAGGCGAACTTCGGGAGAGCATATCTCCCTCCATAGAGGTCCCCTAGGGACTTTCCACACCTCATTTTGAAGGTTGAGATGTCCTCTACCTTGTGTCAAAATTTGAGGAAATTCTGGGTTGATCTTCAGCTTGAAAAAAATAGAGAAACACGGACTGCCCATGTGCCCCTACACCTGAGGCAGATTCTGGACCGGATTTGAGAAATTAATTCCCGCTTCGTTTCTCCGTCAAATTAAGCGTGTGATATATCAAAATGAAGTTTGAGATGTCTAGTGTGTAGGATAAAAATTTGAGAGCAAATGGTTGAGTCGATTGAGTGCAGTAATTCGAGCAATGTGAGTGGTTTGGGCTATTTTTGGGGTTGTTTGGGCTAATTGCTTATCCAACTTCAAACGGCGATAACCGGAGCAAATGAGCTCCGAATTGAGCGTATGATAGCTTTTAAAAAGAGAATTAAGTAATACAAAAATATAATCTGAGAAGAAGGGTTGGCTGCGATCGGTTTGGTCGCAGAAAAATTTAGAGTGAAACATGTTCGAATTGGTAAAAACGTAAAGTTGGAAATTGGCTAAGTGAGTTTATGGGAACTCCTTAGTCACTTATAATAAATGATGTAAGTTATAAAAATGGTTTAAGTAAGTCTTCCGCAAGAGTTTACGGTTACGGTCACAGCTTTTAATTATTACGCATTTTTATGTTTTAAATGTTCGCGTAATAGTCGGAAAAAAATTTATTCTCGTTTTTATAAATGAACTGCTGTGATTGTAACTGCGCTTAATATCATAATTAATGTTAACAATACCGGTACGTAACGGGCTGTTACAACTAGACAGCCACCAACGCCTCAGCTGGACAAACCGAGAGGAGTCTTTAAGAATTATAACGAAGTCAGGGACATAAATATATAGCCAGAAGATACCTTACCTTCTTGAGGAGGAAGGCACGGCTGAACAAAGGGAAAAGGTATATAGACGTTGAATCTTCGTTTCTGCTTCAAAAGGGGTTACACGATTTCTGCAACAAAAATCCAAGAAGAGGTGAAATCGTTCTTCCGTTTGAACTCCAATGATGTTGCGGTTTAGGGAAAATACAAGAAAACAGAATCAGAAGATAATTTTACAAGTTTGCTTGGTTGAGGAGAGGAAAAGAGGAAGGTTGGCTGTGAGTTTATCCACACAACCAAAGATCAAAATTTATGCCCATCACTCTGCTGATGAACGCGTGAGGGAAGAAGGAAAGAAGATAAAAATTTTATCCAATGAGAAAGCATGCATCCTGCTCTCTGCCAACCGATTGGCTGCTCCTAGAGGTGGGCAGATTTTAGGGGTTTACAAAAGGGGTTAGGCAAGGTTAGGCTGAAACCCTATTTCTGATCTTTCTCCACTGCACAAGGCAGAGACGTGACTCACTAGGTAATAAGGTTGCTCTGGCCAAGAGAATTTTCATCCAATCACGTTGAGAGGAGAGGGCTTTCACGCTGATTAGGTAGGAGTGGAAGGCTGGATCAGATTGGGAAGTGAATTGGGTTGGGTTGCTGCTCCAAGGGCTCTTGGGCCGCAGGTCAAAACAATTGCTGTGGCCCAACATACTAACTTATGAAATCAATTGAGATTAGCCCATCAGCAATAAGCCCCAATGCTTTTAAATTAGGCTGACTAATACTCATCATCCTATGGGCCAGCGACCTTCTCCCCCAAACAAGGCCCAACATGCTAATTCCTCTTATATTATAATTCAGCCCATCACTAATTAAATTCATTTAATTAATTTATTGCCTCTTACTTTATTTTTAATAACTTATGGCTGTAATTCTAAATTAGCTTTCTCATGCCTAACATAATTTATGTGACTAATTAATTTATTTCAAGAAACTTTCTAACTCAAATTAATTTTCTCCTAATAATTATATACTCGAATCAAAGCACAGAGCACATACAAGAACATAATACCCAAAATTCTCACAGCAACATAATATATTTTCTATTTACGTGGGATGTTACACTGTGTCATTTAAAAGGATAAATACTTTTTCTATAAATTATATTATATACATTAAAATTATTATTTAATATCAAAACATGTTTCAATATGTCAAAATATGATATCTTTTAAAATTAATGTGTCGGCGTATAGTATCGTGCGTCGTATCTGTATCCGGTGTGCGGTGTCACCGTAACCATTCATGTCGCGTTCATGTACGTCACAGCTATGGTTATCTTCAATTTTTATTTTTTTTTGTAATTGGTTCTTTTCAATTTTTGCCCAAAAGTAACACTGAGCATAACCTTTCTCCCTTTCTTTTTTCTCGCTTCAAATGTCGTCTGCAGAGCAAACATTACAACACACTCCCAGGCCATGGAAACTCCTTGTCTTCTTTAGCGCAGTTATCGCCACCGCCACTTCCATAATTTTCCTCATCTCCCTCTCACTCTCCACCGATTTAAGTTACAAACCATTCAATCACTTGGTTCAACGCAACACAATCAACCCCGTTCACACCTCCACCGTCGGCGAAGAAGAACCTACCAACATCTCCCACATCTTTTTCGGCATCGGTAGCTCCGTCAAGACCTGGCCCAAGCGCCGCCCCTTCGTTGAGCTCTGGTGGAAGCCAAACGTCACCAGGGGCTCCCTCTGGTTTGACGAGAAGCCGCCGGAAAACGAGAGCTGGCCGGAAACCTCCCCGCCGTTCAGAGTCTCCGGCAACACGTCGTCGTTTAAGTACACCTGCTGGTACGGTAACCGGTTTGCGATTCGCTTAGCGCGCATAGTGAAGGAGACCTTCGAGCTAGGGTTGGACAACGTGAGGTGGTTAGTGATGGGTGACGATGATACTGTGTTCTTCACCGACAACCTCGTTACGGTGCTGTCCAAATATGATCACAACCAGATGTACTATGTCGGTGGGAACTCAGAGAGTGTGGAGCAGGATGTGATATTTTCTTACAAGGTGGCGTACGGCGGTGGAGGGTTCGCCGTCAGCTACCCTTTGGCGGCCGAGCTGGCGAGGATCTTGGACGGTTGCATAAACCGCTACGCCCAACTCTACGGCGGTGACCAAAAGGTTCAGGCTTGCATTGGTGAGATTGGTGTTCAAATCACCAAAGAGCTTGGCTTTCATCAGGTACATATGTTTATTTTATATTTTTTTTCGGTGAATAATATATGTTATTTTTTTAAAATGAAAGTATATTAACAAATTTAGCTAGGGTATGTTTTTCTTATACCCTCCTGAGTCCTGAGTTATAAAAAGTTGCCCAGCCTTTTTTTTTTTCACTTGAAAATATCATTATTCATCTCTTTGCCATTTTATTTTTGGAGTATAGTTCTAAAACGCTACCTAATGTATTGAGTTATGTAAAAAAAAAAATATATATATATACTAATTTCTTATTGAAGGAGAGCCTTCTCCCTCTAACTCCTAAAAAATGGGGATCAAGCATGGCCGTTCAACTTTGTCTACAAGTTTTTGTTTCAACATTCTCATACTATATATATATATATATATATATATATAGATGAAAAACATTTTACATCAGTGTAAGTTACTATCTTAATTTTGTCCGTTGATTCAATTTATATACAAGGACTCTAATTTTTTAGAAATGTGAGCCATTGGATATAAGTGAATCAATGGTCAAAATTGGATGTAAGATTTCTAACTCTTGCACTTCTAACTCTTGCACCGGTGTGTAAGAATATTCTGTCCCTATATATATATATATATATATATATATATAAATTAACGGTGAGGTTCATTTTATTTTATTTTTCTCTCTTTTAATTTGTGAGAATTTTTCTCAGATAGAGTAATATTTCGCAAGAGTTAGAGAACATTGTAATGGAATATATATTTATGATTATGCTGTAAATTATACTTCAAATGAGAAATATGTTACCACTTGATATGAACTTAAGACTATATTAATACAATTCTTTGTTTACAGGTTGATATTAGCGGGAATCCGTTTGGACTGCTAGCGGCCCATCCGGTGGCGCCGCTGGTGTCACTGCACCACTTGGACACAGTGGGTCCATTGTTTCCAAGCTTGACCAGGTTTGAGTCCATTAAGAAGTTGGTTGGGGTATACAAGATGGATCCGGGTCGGATCTTGGAGCACAGCTTCTGCTATGACATACAGCGGAATTGGTCGGTTTCGGTGTCGTGGGGTTACAACGTGCAGCTGTATTTGTCATTGGTGACAGCAAAGGAGTTAGAAACTGCGATTGGAACGTTCCAGACGTGGCAGAGCTTGAGTGACGGGCCGTTTGTGTTTAACACCCGACCCGTGAGCAGCGACCCGTGTGGGAGACCGGTTTTATATTTCTTGGATCGGGTGGGGAATGTGGGTGCAGGACAGACCCGATCCACGTATACGAGGTATGTTGACGCATTGGGGAAAGAATGTGGAAGTGTTGACTTGGTTGGAGTCCTGGATGTTCAGTTGGTCAATGTCTCTGCCCCTTACCTTACGCCAGACGTGTGGAAAAAGGTAACGGAATTTTCTTCTTCCCAACTTCACATTAGAAAGCTGTCAACTACCAGAATAGGTTCAACTGATATATATTTGTTTTCCCTTAATCAAGGTCTCATGTTCGAAATCTTGTGAATGTAACAAATTTTCGCTCTTAGAATTAGTTTCGCATGATGTGGATATTCTAAACTGGAATAGAATTAATAAAAGGGGAAAACATTTCTATACCAACTTTAAATAAGTTTGTCTTCAGCTAAATTAAGTATGATCAATCATATATTAAAATTGTATTTTTTCTCTTCGCCATGTCAACCGATAGTATCTGAGTAAAGAGAAAAAAAAATAATTTTATTGTTATAACTAAGTATGACCGGTCATACTTAATTAAAAAGGTTAGCTGTATATAACCTTATCTAAAATGGATGTAAAAATATTTTTCTAATTCCAAAAAAAAAAAAAAAAACTTTTCAAAATGTGAAAATTTTAAAATGATAAGTTCTAATTTTTTGAGACAATTTTAACTTCTTTAAATAATTATTGTTATGAAAAACTCATAGTTGAATACTAATTACTTACATATATGAAAAAAAAAAATTGTTGAAAGAGTAGGCACCGCGTAGACAATGCTGTGAGATAATCAACGGCACAGATGGGGTCAACAATGTGGTACAGGTCAACATCAGAGGCTGTCATCGATTTGAGAGTGTAACTCTTCCCTAGAATATTGGCAGGACAAGACTACTTATTTCAGTTATTTGATCTATCTATACAGGAAAACATAGTTTGAAAATTGGTGAAGCTACATGACATGACTAGTTATGGTAAAAGAAATAAATAACCAATTATACCCTCATATTTGTGTATATTTTATTTTATTGTCTTTGAGAGCTAGACATGCAATAACTAGCATGGAGAGTCTATCACTGAGTTGAAACCTGAAACTTAGGTAGCTACATGTTGTTTCAAACTTCAAAGTCATTTTACCCTATACTATTGTCTTATCAAACATACCCTTCGTGTGTCTATCTCAGACGAAAACAGGTTCTAGCTAGTTGGTAAACTTCTTTAACGTTGGCAATCTCTTTTCTTTTTCTTTTTTTGGTAAGAAGCAATCTTCTTTTAAATAAACGACGGAAAAAAAAAAGTTCCCCACTGTACCACCATAGTTCAAATAATATTTATCAAAATACACTTTGTTTTAACAAGTTGAGAAGTTGGTTTGGCAATTGTAATACTTTTTTTTTTTTTTTTTTGTATACTGTAGGGAAAAAAACCCCAACAAGAACAGGCTAGAGGCCAAATACACTGAATTTTACCAAAATCACTTAAATTAGCTAAATACAAACAAAAAATACCAGAAGGGGGAGAAGGGAAAATACATAAGTTCTCTTGCTCTGGATTCACCAAAGGAAAGTTAGACAGCCAATTCGCACAGCAGTTTCCTTCTCTATACGTGTGTTTTATAACCACAGACCACTCTTTATTCATCCATGCCTGTATACGAGTAACAAGATGAGATTCACAGATTGGCTCACTCCTTGCAGTAAGCCACGTGACTACTATTAAAGAGTCACTTTCTATTACTAATTTTCTCCAACCATTATCTCAAGCCATTTGAACACCTTTTAAAATGTTTCAACTTTGAACTCAGGTTACTTACTAGAGAAACTTAAGTCTCAATTAATTATTTTTGTTTGGTAAGATTCGATTGGATTTAAAAAAAAAGTTTAAATTCAACCAAAAAACTGTAGTATAATTGATAATTTCATTTATTTCACAACAATAATTGAAGGTGCACCCCTTAATTACCTATAGTCCCTAAATCAATTAATAATCAAAAAACTTGAAAGCCAAATATTATTTCTAGCATAAAAATTTAGTTCAACTCTATTTATATTGATAAACACAAGCAGTTGAAACATTAAATAGTTTTGTTCAGTGCTCAAAATGAAAAAAAATGTAATAACAAAATTCAACAAAAACCCATTTATGGCCCATAGGAACTTTGATTTTTGAACAAAAAAGGGAACATATTAAACACAAAAGAGAAGCATAGCTCAGTCATATGAACCAATGTTATAAAAACCAAACCGACACGGCCAGGTCGAACTATTGTTGAACAAAAGGTTTTCAAGCCTACATTGTTGAAGTTTTGATAATTACAAAGCACCAACAAGCTCAACATTTATGCACAACTTAGAAGGCAGTGTAACAAATCTCAAATGGCACTAGAAGACCAATGCAACATGTAAAAGTGAAGAAATGACTCAATTGTGCAAAGTCAACTTCAAAGTCAAAGTAATCAAGTGAAGAAAAGACCTAGAAGACTCAAAGGATGAAAACACTTGAAGATAATTGAAAACTTGTATTCTTTTTATGTGTCATATACTTCTAGAGTCTTTGAATGTATGAAGTTGAGTTTATTGAGCCTATACCTCTCTAGATTGCATTTAGTAACATAAACTCATATATACAAGCCTCACACACGAGGACAACTGTTAGATTGATGCTAGGAACATGCATTCATGTGTGATAAGTGATAAAAGATCATTCAGAACTAAGTTGGATCAAATTCAGATAATTTTGTGGTTGTTGCCAAGAAATATCCGGATATATGAACTACGTATTCACATATGGTATCGGGATATCTCTGCCCAGAATATCTGGATATGGGTTCAAATATATTCGGATATATGTCGGGGGTCACGTGATATTCTTAAAAATCTGAATCAAATCTTTTTATATCTTTTTAGATGTCAATTGGGTTACTATATATTCATGTCTTAGGGTTCAGAAACATGAGAGAGTATATTATTACATGCATTAGAGTCAGAATCACCCAAGTACATGCATTATGCTTAAATTTGATATTCTAGAGAGAGAAAATTCTTTTAATTCTTCTTCTTCTTCTGTTTCTGTGTAATTCTAAAATTGGGGAGGTTGTTCTGTTGTGATTAGTTCAATTGGAGTGATCCTAGGTCTTAAGTTAAGAGTGATCAAGGGGTTGATCACAGTCTTGTAAAATTTCAATTGAGGTTTGGTTCAAGGGGAGTGATCCTAGGGTTTAGGTTAAGGGTTATCAGGTACACCAGAAATCTTGTAAAATTTCTTTTGTAAAATGGTTTCTTCAAGCACCGGTTGAGAGCTTGATGATAGTGGAACGATCGGCCTCAGTCTGGATGTAGCTCTCAATGATAAAAAGTGAACCAGGATATATCCCGGTGTTATTTTCTCTTCCCTTACTCTTTTATTTTTCGCTACTTATACTCTGTATGATTCATTGTTCTTGTTGTTTTGAATCTTTTTAGGGTTTGAGAATTTTTGTTAATTGTTAAATCTCTTTTGCATGCTTTCTTTAAAAAGGAGTTTTTAATTTTCTTTGTTATTTGCAAAAAGTTTAAAACACAATTCACCCCCTCTTGTGTTGTTATTTAGCCATTCTTTCTTTACACCAATGATAAGCCCTTAATCAATTATGTATTAAAAGCCAAATTAAGCAAGTAATTAATCTAAATTCAGTCAAAACACATGAAAATTATGATTTAATTGTTAATTCACTTTCAGGAATACTTTCATAAAATTATTGTGTTTTATAGGAAGTTTCTTCAAGATGGAATGTTTAAAGTAAATAATGAAATAAGAAAAGAAAAATCAACGCAAAAAGTCAAATGCCCAGAGTTCTTTTATGTTGGCGCAAAAAGCGCTAACTTCTCTCACAACATGGCGCAAAAGGCGCCAGACTTTCCGTAAAAGTGGCGCAAATTGCGCCAAACTCTCTCTTGTACTGGCGCAAAAGGCGCCAAGTCTTGCCACTGTCATGTGCACGTGTTTTGAAATTTTAAATTTTGATTTCTGACACGAGATTTGTTGGAAGTTTTGTAATGTGTTTATCCTGATTTATTTGTTCAAATTTCTTATATGACTTGATCAACTATATAGGAATAAAGAGGGTAAAATTCTAAATAGAAATATTTAGGATTTTAATCTGGACTACGATAAATACATATTTTTGCTTGTTCTAAACATATACCGGTGAGAGTTGCAAGCGTGAGAGATTCATTGCTTTTAATGCTTAATCTATAAAGGGTTTCTAAGAAATTAGGATTCCAATTAGGTTAAAAGATTCAGTAACAAAGACATTAGGAATTTAACCAATTAATAATTAGATGATGAATTGTTTGATAACAAGAAGGTTAGAATTTTATTGAATTAATTTAATTATCTTAAGGGGAGTCAGAGGTGAAATAGATCCTAGCTGCATTTTTTTCTTGATTTAAAACTCATTTGTATTAGTCTTTTACGTAATTTCTTTAACTGTCATTGTTGCGACTCGGCAAGTGCACCGGTCGTTAAGTAATAAAAGTGTAACGGAGTACGAGATCGTTTCCACGAGGATTGGGTTTCAAACACTAGTTCGCTAATAGCAGTTTAGTTGGACAATCAATATTTAGATGAAAAAAATTGAAATTAAAAAGAAAACAATTAATAACATGCAAGTTAAAATTCAGAATTAAAAAGCAATTGGAAAATTGATTGATTTAAAGATTAAAAACAAGTGTAGTTAGGGTTTCGACTTTCCCCAATCTCCTCTATATGCTATGAATTAAACTGTCAAGAATCTGCTCTTATATAATGTCAATCAATTCTTTCTAAGTTAATTAGGGCTCAATTCCTTGTTACCCTAAATCTATGTGATCTTGAAAGAACTCTAGTTCCCCGATTATTCCCCAAGAAAACATGCATTAAGATCAAGAATTTAAAGATTGCACAATTGCCCTATGTCTATCCCTAGATCACAAGGATTGTGATAAATTTATCAAATTAGGGTTCATGCACCAACATCCCTATTGTCATACAATTTCCATAAATCAATCTATAAGGAGCAGACTCATAGAAAGCATTAAAGACAGATAAATATATTCAAATATAAAAAAAGAAGAATTCAGAGACAATTTAATTCATAAACATAAGGATTCAATGGGGTTCCATCCTATGTAGCACCGACACTGACACGGGACACGTGACACGATACTCCGACGCGTTAATTCTAAAAAATGTTAAATTTCGACACGTTAGGACACGTTTCGATATTAAATAATATATTTAATTTATGTAGTATATGTTATCTTTAATATTCAATAATTTAACAAAAAAATGTATCTAAACTTATAATATTCATAAATTTTGCAAAGAAACATAAGATATTCCAAATATTTATATTAAACTCAATAAAATGATAATCGTAATCTAACGAATTTAACATTTGGAACTAAAAACTTAACGCAATTTAACCTTTGAACTGTTTTTTGAATTTCAATAACGCGTGTTGGAGTGTCGGGGAGTGTCGGAGTGTCCGAGAGTGTTGGGAAGTGTCGGACACGACACGTCAGGGTTTTTGAAGTGTCGGTGCTTCATAGGTTCCATCTACCCGTAAGTCCGTAACTACAGAAAAACTTATCCTAGCATACTGAATTCAAAAGCAATAAGAAAGAAAATAGTTCCCCAAGCCTCCATTGGTGTGATGTTGACTTGGCTCCCCAGTGCTCCAACGCTCCGTGATAATTGATATTTATTATACTTATTTATTACTCTTGGTTAGTATTTATAGGATTTATTTGAGTTAAATAAAGATCTTTTGGGTCAAAATAGAATTCTAGATTTTAATTGGGTTTAATTGATTTTCGTTAGAATTTTCCAGATTTACAATACTTTCGTATTTTGGTCATATCTCACTCTACAGATGTCCGATTGACTTTGTTCGTGTTGAGTTTTGCAGCTAACAGAAAGGGCTACAATTGGTATTTCAGTCACTGAAGCCCAATTTGAACAGTAAGATGGTCGAAAATCAAGCTCACATCTGTCACGAGTTGGTGCAGTTTTAATTAGTTTGTAATTGGGAACCCAATCTTTATGAGGCCCAAATCTATTATTATCTTTTATTTCCTTTTATACTAGGTCAGACTTGTAGAGCCTATATAAAGGCATGATTAGGAGACCTTGT